AGTTTATCCTGTGGAGGAAAATAAATTAGATAAATCATTGTATTTGAACTGACATTTTAAAGAAGTGAGTCAAAGATATTGAAGAAAATAGGAGAGATAGGAATGATGTTCTAGTATCATTCTGGTCAACATTGAAAATCAGCATTCTGCTGTCTGTTTGAAAGTTCCAAAATGCAATATATTTCTAAGTTCATGTCTCTATACCAGTGCATTGAAAAGTGATAATTTAATCAAATGATTCACTAAATTATATGACATTTCTGGGCAAATTAATGGTGAATATTAGTAGAGATAAATTTATCAATCACCTAAAGTGAGACTTGCCTAAATTAAGACTTGCTGAAGAAGAAACAGATGCAAACATATGACATACTTCAAATATTTTTTTAGAGCTGGAATATTCCTGGAAAATATTGCAAAATCTTCATCAAAGGTTTCTGAACAAATTTAGTAATGATAGATAACAAGTAATTAAAGAGAATGAAAAAAAGACAATAAATAAATAAATAACTGGAACCACCAATCATTTTGGTTTATCAATTATAGCTTTTCCTCTACAAAGTCAATAAGACTTATTACATTAAAACACCCTAATGGTCTTTAATTCTTTTTCCTTGGAGTACTTGATTTATATCATATTGGATGCTAATCCTAGGATTTGGGGTTGGGCCTCCTAAATACAATAATTGTTTTAGCTGCTGGAACCTGGTCTACTCCATATAGGAAGATGGCCAGTAATATAGACAGAGAATAAGAAATTGATGGAGCTTAGAAAGAAACATAATCTTCCTCCTGAGGCATCTATATACCACTAAAACTTTCATTCACATAACCTTTAACTGTGTGAATCGTAGGGCAACCATTTTTGAACCAAGGTAGCTAAAATATGCTAACTTACAAAATGCATCCAAAACCTGGGCTCCATTACTCATGAGAGAATTAAAATGGGGAAAGTTGTGGCTGTTTCAATGCTACTGGTCTGCTGCTGCTTCAGCTCTATCAGGCTGCTGCTGTAGTCTCATGATGCTCATTTTGAATGTTCTGGAGATGTTCAGTGAATTGGGCAGCATATAAATTTAATAACTGCTATATCTAATAACAATATATTGATGTATATTTAATTAATTTAGTTTTTCTTTCCTTTTAGCTTATGTATTTAATTGATTTTGCTTACTACGTATTACAATTTACTGGAATAAATTGCACAATCTTTGTAATATTGTTTCTAAAAATATAGTGTGAAGGATACATACTGTAATCAGAGATTGCCACTTTGCCTAGCATTTGGAATTTTTCTCTTTTCCTCTCTGTCTGTTTTTGTCTGTCTCTCTCTGTCTCAGGCCTTTTTATTTTGTGGTTTGGTGAAAGTATTAGGGACATGCTCAAGCCTTCAGAAAACCTGTGTTGTACAGCAGGGGTAGGTTCTACTTACCTTTACTACCGGTTCGCAATGGGATCACATGCGTCCGCTTGCTTCGCTCCTGCACAGATCGCCAATGATGACATCTGTGGTGGTGGGTGGGGCCTCCTGCCGGTTTTACAGGCAGGATCCAGCCTGCAGGGTGTTTAAATCTGGCCTGAGAGGCTGGCCTTGAAATAGCAAAGGACCAGCCCATGGTGCCTCTGGCAGCCAAAACATGCCTTGAAAATAGTGATTGGAAAAAAATTGAAACAATTGATTAAATATGAAATAAGTGTCTGAACTGGCTAATTTTAAAAAAGGCAAATCCAGTTTTACTTTGCAACAGCAAAAGTTTTACTTCCATTTGATTCAATTTTGACCTAAGGTACTATGTTCACCTGGAATACAAGATCTACTGTAATGTACCAGAATTTAAGAAACATTCAGAAAAAAAAAATGAAACACAATCAGCAAGAATAATCAAGAGAATAGAAAGTTCTGTGAAGAGAGATAGCTTTGAAAAAAATAGTGAGGGATTATCTGACTGAATTCTTTGATCCCTTAAAACCACACAGGAGAAAAATACTACTTTCTTCTTCAGTAACCTTTAATTGTATTACCGGTATATAGTCAAGTATTACTATTATATATACACACATACATATAATGTTAATTTATTATATCTGACTCATTATATACTTTGCCTTTTCATCCCACAGTCAACCATGAATCAAAGCAGAGACACTAATGATTATCGGTTTCCTGAAAGGAAGAAAGCTCCCTGTCCACATTTTGACCTAGAACATTTACTAGAGGAATCAGTATTTATTCACTACTTGACTTGTGTCTAGATAATCTGTTTCCTATAAACCCTCTGCAGCTGAAGCTGCACTATTTTCTCCTCAAGTTTCTCTAAAAAAGATTGGAAACAGAACAATAGGTAGTTAAAAGAGCTGACTTCTCAAAGAAGCCTTCAGTAGGCAAGACACCAGCTTTTTCTTAATTGCATCTAGTGCTTCTTCAAAGAAGCACTAACTACTTTCCAGACCTTAATACTCAACCAAAAGCAGTCACTAGATGGGTCTAAATCATAGGCAGCAGAGCAATGCATGCATGATTTGTTTTTAATGCATTGTATTAACTTTGTAAATTCTTCAATATATTCATTTATTATTTCTGTAATAATAACTCACATTATCTTGATTTGATTTGAGTTCCTAAGGATATTTTAAATAGGTTTAATACAGTGCTTTACAAAACATATTGGCTTTGTAGTCAATGAATATTCTATGGCAAAGCACAATCCTTATTTTTGCAATGTGTATAAAACCAGTAAACCTAGATTTTTTTTAAAAAAAAATGATTTATTTGCAGTTTCAGGTACTGCAGAAGAAGTGCAACAGAGACCTGGTTCAGCATAATCCCACTGGGAGATATTTCCAAGTATCTATTTCAAGAATTTGTTTTTTAAAAGGAAGCAGATGTTTTCTATCAAAATAGTACCAGTGAAGAACTACTATTACTCCTTTCCTGAGATCATATTCCAATCATGCACTCCCTTCTTTAATTGATGCAGCAGAATGTAATAATTCATATTCTGGCTTGTTGACACAGCTTGCTTCAGCTGTTCACAGAATAAGTTGTTTGTTCACAGAATCTATGAACACGTCAGCATTCTGTAGACAAACAAAGAAGAGCTGTTGGTTTTGACAGTCACTGCAACTGTCTACTGGCCTCCAAGGGACTTTGAAAATGTATGGTAAGTCTAGAGAATCACATGCAGTAAATTTTTACTGCTGCTAACTTTGACACACTTATTTCCATTAGGAGAAATAACAGACTCCCTAGAATTTCCTTTGTGCAGGCAAAGTAAAATAAGGGCACAATAAATCAAATTCTGAATTGAAATTTATACACAAAGTATGACTCTGGGGATTGTATTGCTGGAAGTGATGCTTCTCAAATAATTGTGCTATTTTTAGATATGACTTAGGAAAATGCAGCCAAAAGATAATTTTCGGGATAAATCACCATCTCTGCTTCACAGCTATTGTCAAAGTTTAGTAAGTGCTCCTTCTATGAAATGTTACCATTTCTGTGGGATTCTCATGAGAGAATTGTACTGTACATTACATAAAATGGATGTGTGTATACCATATGTAGAATTTACATATAGTTTTGATCTCAGGGAATTAGTTGTCAGTTGAATATCCATACTAAAACAGTAAGCTGTTTTAATAAAGTAGTTCACAATCATTGTTTTGATCTCTGGTATGTTTTATTTTTTGCTACATTTCCAGCTGCAGATCAAAATCAGTATTTGGTTCATAGCTCAAAGAAAGTATTTTCCTTCATATTTTGGAACATTTTCTTTGATTCTGGTATTTGGTACATGTGTTTGGTATGGGAATCTGACAGACTGATTATTTTACTGCATTTTATTTTGATTCTGGTAAGTTTATTTTTTTTTTAAGAAATGAAAAATATTCACTATCTGTATGCATGAAGAATATATGTACACCTAACCATACCTAAGCAAAGCTTTAGTGCTATATAGTGTCTGCATTACTGAAAAAAAAAATACAGCAGTTTTGTTACAATACATGTCATTTTATAACAACAGGAACTCAGCATACTTTATATTTTAACAGCTGGATTGCATTTGGCTAGCCATTATCCCATATTACATAAGGACATACAGTTTCAGTAGCAACTAATTAATGTACTTGATGTGGGAGTTCAGAAATTACTTATGTTCCACTCATTCCTAGATAAGGATACTATGGCGATTACCAGCTTGAAATGGTTCATATTGGATGAACATTTCCAACATACAGTAATTGCTACTGATTAGTTTTATGTTGTAATGAAGCAATAATGACCAAAACACATGACATTTCTATGGGATTCATGAATGGCTGGTTTTGCTTCAGACCATTAACTTCACTCATTAATACCTTTAGAAGTGCACTGTGCAAGGGTTGTTATTGTTAATAACAAAACCAGGATAAAAAACTTGGTTAACGTTAAAATTAATTTGCAATTTTAGAATCTGAGTTCTAAGAATTTCCCACTATCAAGCTTTTAATAGTTTACATTCTAAATGCACACACACACACAAATCTCAAACACATGATGTTTATGTTAGAACCTGTAAACAATTTGACACAACTATCACTCCCCAGTGGTTGAAAGAGGCAAGCTGTTCATTTCCCCCCCCAGAAACTAGAAAAAACAATAGTGCAAACTATTTCAAACCGTCTATCCCCCCTTCCCCAGATATATTTTGTATTAGTGCTTCAGATGTGATCACACAAAGTGTTGCCTTTGCAGCTGCTTAACTGGCTTAAGAGTTGCAGGCAGTTATGTTCATACAGTACATATGTTCATAAATTCCTGAAGAACCTTTAGCAACTTACCATATTTTTCGTTTCATAAGACGCACATTTTTTCCTCCCAAAAGTAGGTGGAAATGTCTGTGCATCTTATGGAGTGAATATGGGTGACAGGCAGCAGCAGTGAATGGCAGCAGTGATCCCCGCCGCCTGGAACAGCTGAATGGCGGTATTCCGGGAGGCCGATCCAACCGCCAGGCAGCTGCTTGGAAGCAAAGGCTCCAGCATTCCCCAGCGGAGGCAGCAGACACAGAGGAGGCAGGCTGCTTGCTTTTTGCTACAAGGATGCTAGTCAGATGAATACCAGATTGATGCTGGGAGGCAGAGGCAGATTTTTTTTTCTTGTTTTCCTCCTCTAAACCTAGGTGCATCTTATAGTCAGGAGCGTTTTATGGAGCGAAAAATACAATAATCCAAAGCATTTCACAGCCACTTGTATTTCTATGGGAAGACAGAAGTAAAAATTAGAAAGACATTCTCATGTTTTACTTCCATATAAAACAAAGTTATAATACTTATATTTCAAAAATATTTAGGCAGAAAAGGTTGTATTTAACGGCATATTATTGATATGTTATACCTCTTTATGATAATAAAAAAGAGTTACAGTTTTGTGAATTATTTTTCAGAAATAAAGGAATCATTAACTCTATTTCATCTAAATTTTATATTAAAGATAAATACCATTATTTTTTAAAATCAGAAATTGTCAAAGGGTGAGAAAAAATAGTAATAGATTTAAAGAACTCAGGATGATATTCTACCAATTAAAGTAAATTTATTGTTCCAGAAATATTAACACATTGAATAATTTGTGCAGCAAGTGTTCAATTCCAGTGTCCTTAACATAACCTATGTGCGTGTATGTGCAATTTATTAATTTTAGGCTTAACGTAACAATATATATATTGTTAGAGTTTGCAGCAATCCAACTAGCACACAAGTAAATAATTCAACAGGATTCATGTATAAAAGAAACTTCTTTATATACAGTAATATAAAGCATGATGCATATATACAACACCCATGCAGCAGACGCCAGAACCAGAACTCAGAAGCCAGAAGCAATATAATCTCAGAAGCAATAATGCAAGGACAAACCAACTCTTTTATACAGAACAGTCAAGCTAAACCACGCCCAGGCTCCAAACTGTCTGAGTCACCAAACAGTCCGAGTCACCAAACAATCCCCATTGGCTGACCTGTTGCCATGTCTATTCCAATTCATGAATTCTTATGCACTGACATATCTTAAATTTAGTTATAAAGTTTCCTTGAAGTTCTTTAAATGTTTGAATGCCTTTTGTTTTCTTATCTACGCAATTATGCAATTATATTAAATCCTTCTTCAGACACTTTAGCTTTACTTTTGCTATCCTACTATCCTGATGTCTTAGCTTTTAAAAAGATAAAAGGAAAGGAAATGTAGAGAAGGGGTGGTTCTTGAGGCATTTGGTACCTGTATCACTTCTCTATTCTATTATGGCTCCAGGCCATCTTTCTAATGTGGCCTGTTTCTCAGAATTGCTGAATTCCTTCACCCAGTGATTTGCTGAAAGATCCTTCTTTCCAGATTCTGATGCTATTATTCAGTTCTTCATCACATTTCCTTCCTTTACTGAGCCAGAATGGTGCAGTGGTTAGAATGCAATATTGCAGACATAGTTCGATCTTGACTGGCTCAAGGTTGACTCAGCTTTCTATCGTTCCGAGTCTGGAAAATGACGATCCAGATTATCAGGGGCAATATGCTGACATTTGTAAACTGCTCAGAGTACTGTAAAGTGCTATGGAGTGGTATATTAATCTAAGTGCTATTGCTACTGTCATTGGTCATTTTTTTAAACATGTCCCTTCTTTTCATCAATGTCTTCATTTTCCTTGCTTCCATTCAAAACCCAAAGCTAAGCTCCTTTTTTTTTTGCCAACCATACGCTTAAAAGTCTTAAAGTAGAAGGTAGATATGGCATTAAACCTCCACCTCTGTTGGTACTTCCTCTTTACAGACTTCCACCTAATTTCTAAGGGGTTGTGGTCTGCCCAATTATTCAGGTTAATTTCAGCCGTTCCGATTTCTAATCCCAGTTTCCTGCTAACCCATGCCATGTCTATTCTAGACCACGACTTTTGTGCATTTGAAAAAAAAAGTGTATTGCCTATTGTTTGGGTGCAGGGTACGCCAAATATCAATTAGGTCCAATTCATCGACTAGATCAAAAAAAGCTCTCGGTAGATTTGTCCTTTTTTTTTTTTTTTGCTTTATTACTTTTGTAATCCTTCTCCAAATCCACAATGCCATTAAAATCCCCTATTATACAAATTTCATTATATTCCATTTTTACTAATTGTTCATGAAGTTTCTTAAAAAATTCTCCCTGTTTTTTATTTGGAACATATATACCCACTAATAATACTTTGGAGTTCCCTCTCTTAATTTCAATCATAAGAATTCTGCCCTTTGTATCTTTAAACTTTTGCTCTGCTTCAATTCCTTTCTTTACATAGATTGCCACCCCCTCTTCTTTTTCTCTGCCAATGAAACGAATGTTTGACCAAATTTTTTATATTCTAGATATTTACCCTCTTCTTTTTTTATGTGCACCTCTTGTAGACACATTATATCAACATTTTGTTTACCTAGTTTTGTTAATATTCGTTTTCTCTTTTTGTAGTCGTTTAAGCCATTGACATTTACAGATATTAATTTCAAATCATTCATCCCTATTTCCTTGTCTGGTTATTAGTTTTTGTTTGTTCGTACGGCTCTTACTGGTCTTGCTTTTTTCCCTTTGGCTTCTTCTTCTGTCCTCTTCTCCTCCGCAGTTGCTTCCTTCGTGTTCTGTTGGTGTAAGGCCTCCTCCTCCACTGCTGCTGTCTCTAGTTCTTCTTTGCTACCCTGCTCTTCCTCCACACCTCTCAACTGGTCAAGGAAATCTTGTGCTGTACTCAGGCTTTCTATTTTTATTTTTCTCCCTTGCCAAGTAATTAATATCCCTTCTGGTAAGAGCCACCTGAATAATATATTTCTTTTATTCAACTGTACGGCTAAAAATCTATACTCCTTTCTCATCTCCCGTACTCTTCTTGGTATCGGTTTTAGGATTATTACTTCTTTTCCTCTATATGTTATCTGTTCCTCTCTTGTCATGTTGTATAGAATGTCTTTTACTTTTTTTCTTGCAAAACGAACATGCACTTCCCTGGGGAGCTTGTTCCTTCTTGCATAATTTGTCTGGACCCTGTATATGTCGTCCAACTCTCTAATTATCTCTTGTTTATCTTGTTGGAGTACGTCTGCTATCAGCTCCGCCATCTTCTCACCCAGGTCTTCCTCTTTATCCTCAACAATATTTTGGAAACGCAAGTAGAAGGATGCCCGGTCCATCTCTAATTGGATTATCGAATCCTCTAACTCTCTATTTTGACTTGTCAATGCTTGGTCCACAGTGTCTAATTTCTTTTCGGTTTGGTCGATTCTTATTTCGGCTTTTTGGATTCGTTGTTCATTATTGAATATTGAGGTTTGGATTTCATTCATTTTCTGGTCCAATGTATATCTGATTTTAATTCGACATGGTTATTGGACATTTTTTCCTGCATTGCCATCATGGTTTCTTGAATCAAGGTTAATGATGCTTGCAGAGTTTGCATTGTCGATGTGGCTGTAGATTTTTCTGTTTTTTCCAGACCTTCTGTTGATTTCTGTGTAGCCGGAGAGGTCATTGTTATAGTGCGGTTAGAGGGAGTCTTTTTTCCGGTTTTCACCACTGTTGATGACATGCTTGTCATTTCTTTCAAAATTGTTTTTTGCTCTCTAATTATTCTTTCAATATTTCTCCAAATTCTCATTCGCCAGCTGGCGCCTCTGTTTTCTTTCCTTAATTTTTTTTAATTCTCTATGCCTAATTTTTTCTTCTAGATCTTTAAGTGAAAACAGATTCTAATTGACGATCAATATCAATATCAATTTAGAGATCTAAACCTCTTCCCAACAATACCTTATACTCAATATATAATTAATATGTATTTGATTGGCTTAACAATTATTAGTTAGATAATTAATAACTTAGTTTATAAAATATCTAAAATATCTAGTTCAATTCTTAACAATCAATATATCAATTAATTTAACTAAATACTATAAATACTTTTAAATACTATAAATACTATAGATACTATAGATACTGTAAATAGGAATTCATACAATTATAAATATTTGACTATAAATACAATTATAGACAGTTGAATGAATCTAAAAAATTTAAAATGCTATAGTTTAAGAATATATACTATATATATCTAATCCAGAAAAATTAATTTATAGGGAGATTAACAATTCTTACTGATAATTATATTTAGACAATCAGGATATTGAGGAAAGAATTATCTGGAAGTTCCAACGTTGTTGTTATTATTATTATTATTTTCCCCTCCTTTTTGGGATATAAACTGTTCTTTATTGCTCAGCCTCTATTCTTCTACGAGTTTAAGTACATTCATCAAGGTTCAGCACTCTATCGTATTTCTTGCTGCTAGACTGTCCACAAGGCTGACATTCCAGCTATTCAGTTTATTTCTCAGAAAGTCACTCTAATGGCTGAACTTCCTGTTCCTTGAAATAGTCAAGCTCGATCCACCCAGTTTCAGCCTCCGATGAATCTACTTTTATAAACAGCAAAAAGGAAAGGAATACTTTCACTGTTCTTATATCTTCTCACCAATCCTCTCTTTGCACGCTCGCTTTCGACACAGATCTTTTCTTTTTTCGATGCCGGCTTGTCGGGCTCTCTCTGTCAAACTGCTCACAAACTTTCAGTCGCCACTTTTTCCCTCCGTGAGACTTTTCCGCCCGACTTCACCGACCCCTCTTTCTGATGTCCACTTTCACCTAGCAGGAAGGGTGTGTATCTGTCAGCACTGCAGCATCTGATCTCCCTTGCTTCCAATCTGGTTGCTGGTTACCGCAGCTTCGCGTCGGCCATTAATTTGGCTGACTCACGCGTGCTGGGTTGACAGAGCCGCCAGGTCTTGTGATCAGCATTTTGCGCTCCGCTTTCACGCTCACCCGGCTCGCTCTCTCGTCCGTGGGGCTCTCCAGGCTCTGCGCCCCCGAGGGGATCCTCAAAACACGGTGACTGATGGTATCGAGGAGCAGCAGTCACTCACTCAACACCATGTCGCTGCGGGTCACCAACTGAATTACTGGGTGACAGAGAATGCATACAAAAACTTAAAGAAGAAGTAAACTTCTTTTTCAAGGAAAACGAAAACCATGGAACGCCCCGTGCAATAGTATGGGACACAATGAAGGCCTACTTGAGAGGAGTTGTGATCTCATACAGCGTGCATAAAAATAAGGAAAAAAGGAAGACCCTGGAAGACTATCTAAATCATTTAGGAGAATCAGAAAGAAAACTTCAAGACAATCTGGAAGATGAAACAGCCAAAGAAAGTTGGATGATGTGGAAGCACAAATTGAATATCATTGAGCAAGAGGAGCTAGTGCAAAAAATGAAAAGAACGAAACAATACCTCTTTGAGAATACCAACAAATTGGGCAGGTGGTTGGCCTATAAATTAAAAAGGGAAATGAAAAGAGGAAAATTCATATATTAGAAGACTCTAAGGGTAAGCTATTGATCAAAGAAGAAGAAAAATTGGAAAGAGCTAGGGAATATTATGAAACTCTATATAAAGAAGAGGAGGTACCAGAAGGCAAAATAGAGCAATATTTGACAAATGCAGAGCTCCCACAAATAACAGAAGAAGAGAGAGAAATGCTTAATAGAAAGATTGCAATTGAAGAACTAAAAACAGCCCTCTCCAAATTGAAAAACAATAAAGCGCCAGGTCCCGATGGATTCCCAGGGGAAATATATAAAAAATTAGAAGAAATATTGCAACCAAAATTAGTAGAAATTTTTAATGATGCATTGATAGGCTACAAAATCCCAGAGTCGTGGAAGGAAGCGTATGTTACACTTGTGCCGAAAGAAGGTGCCGACCTAAAACAAATTCAGAATTATAGACCAATTTCTCTCCTAAACACTGATTATAAGCTATTCATGGGCATAATGGCAGAAAGAATGAAAAAGATACTAAATAATTGGATATGTAAGGATCAAAACGGATTCCGAGAGGCAAATTAGAGACAATCTGAGAATTGTGCTGGACACCCTAGAGTACTATGAAGAACACCCTGAAAAACAGATGGCCTTAATCTCTGTTGACGCCCAAAAGGCATTTGACAATTTAAATTGGAAATTTATAACCAAACAAATTGAGATAATGAAATTCGGAACAAATTTTGAAATGATTATCAAATCTATCTATCAAAAGGCGAGTATCCTGGTGAATGGAGATAGGACCAAAACATTCCAGATTAGTAAGGGGGTAAGGTAAGGCTGCCCCCTATCACCACTATTGTTTATTTTGGCCCTAGAAGTTCTCTTACAGAAAATTAGAATCAACGAGGAGATAAAAGGTCTGAAGATTAGGAAGGAGATCTACAAGACGCAAGCATTTGCAGACGATGTAGCCTTAATTCTTGAGGACCCCATAGAATCGGGACCAAAAGTGCTAGAGGAATTGGGTAAATATGGAGAGGTGGCAGGCTTTAAATTGAATAAAACTAAAACTAAAGTACTGACCAAGAATGCAACCGAGAGTCAGAAAAATGAGATAGAAGAAGTATTAGGACTACACGTTGCCAAAAAAATTAAATACCTAGGAATTTGGATTACATCAAGATGTTCGACCTTAAAAGAGGACAACTATACCCCCTTAATTAGAAAAATGAAACAAGACCTCGATAGATGGAAGAAAATAAGATTGTCACTTTTGGGCAAGATAGCTGCAATCAAGATGAATATTCTCCCCAAAATATTATTCCTATTTCAAAATATACCGGTGAATTTAGATAAAAAGTTTTTTTTCAGAATTAGATAAAATCATCAGAGAATTTATATGGGAGGGGAAGAAACCGAGGTTTTCCATTAAAATTTTAAGGGGCAAAAGAGATATAGGTGGATTTGGGCTCCCCGATTGGGAAACATATTACAGGGCAGCTAAGCTAGTCTGGATAAGAGATTGGACCACCCTGGAAAATGAGAGGATTTTAACCCTAGAAGGCCACGATTTACAAAAAGGGTGGCATGCCCACATTTGGGACGTAGAGAAGAAAAGGAAAACATATTTTCATAGACACAAAATTAGAGACTCATTGATATAAACATGGATCCTGATTAGGCAAAGATACTACAAAAAAGTCCCAAGTTGGCTCTCTACGATGGAGGCCCTGATCTACCCCAATAGATGGGGAATGGAGAAAATGGGCAGGTACAAAGATATTTTAGATGAAGGAGGGAATCTCAAATCAAATGATACTTTGAGAGAGCAAGGAATAATTTTAGATTGGTGGACCTATTTACAAATAAAATCTAGATACCAGAAAGACAAAGAACAATATGGCTTAGAATTTGGACCTAATAGGTTGGATAAAGTCCTGATGGGAACAGGCAAAAAGATCTTGGCTAAACTATATAATTATTTATTAGATGATGATAAGTCCGAGGATATAACAAAGAATCAAATAAATGCATGGGAGAAAAATATTGGATGAGATATAAATTTTAGTGAATGGGAGGAGGCATGGAATAGGAACCTTAAATTGACCAGAGCGGTGACATACAAGGAAAACCATTACAAGATGCTCCATAGATGGTATTTAGCCCCGACCAGGCTATCAAAGATATATCCTAATATACACCCTAATTGTTGGAAATGTGGCCATGGTCAAGGCACCTTCTTTCACATGTGGTGGACATGCCCGGAAGCGAAAGGATATTGGAGTAAGATCAGGAGATGGTTATATGAAATAATTGGGGAAGATATTGAATTAACACCAGTAATATTTCTCCTGGAATAGTAAAGAAGCCATACGGAAAGGAAAAGATCCACATAATGATTCATATAATTACAGCCTCCAGACTGGCGTATGCACAGTATTGGAAAGAGAAAACCCAACCACCAGAAGAGCTTATAATTAGGAAAATACTGGAGTGCGCAGAGATGACTAAATTAACCCATGAATTAAACGATGATGAGAAGTCAGATTATTATATTGAGTGGGAAAGGTGGTATAAATGGATGCATGATAAAATGAAAGAAAGACCAAAAGGTGTGTTAAATAATGGTAAAAAGTAATTTGAAATATCACCAGAAATATTTTTTTGTATATAGTTAAAACACTGCACATCTGATGTTAATTGAAAATGTCAATATATTTATGCTTTTTTAAAATTCAATAAAGTTTTTTTCAAAAAAAAAAAAAAAAAGAAGAAGGTAGATATGGTTGCCGGATGTTCCAGGAAATTAAGAACTCTCCAATTGTGAAGTTCTCCTCTATTGGTACCTTCCCAATTGTTTACATGATTCACTTGCATCATATAGCAGACATACAAAAATCTAAACCTGAATCCTCAAAAAATAAAAGGCAACACTCTCTCAACTGTCACATAAAATGTCTAACCTATATATGTCCCCACTGCTCCATGGTCCATCAAGAGTTAACACTACTACACAACCCATAACTCCCACAATCCCACCTTACCTTAACTCCTCCCCCTGGGTACAAAAGGTCCATCCACATGGGCAACAGCCAGTTCCAGATGTATACCTGAGAAGAAAGGACATAGGTCAATTACTATTGCATACTTGAGCCTGTGATATATTTTAAACTGCAAATAAATAAATTGCAACTATTACTTCTTTGCATCGAGAGTTATTGGGCTAGATCCTCCCTTTTTAACATCAACTATGATAGTTCATTCTACCACAAAATATTAAAACAAGTCTCTGTGTTGTTGTTGTTTTTTATAGTACATAAAGGACTGTTTTAAGTAAGAACAAAGTAACTTAAGAGCCTTTCATCTGTCCCTTTCTTAGAACTCTTCTGTTGAAAATTCAGTTCAATGACATACAGTCTTTTATATGCTAGAGGGAAGAAAAGAAGGAAGCCTCAGTTTGTTAGGACAATAGTGTAAAGAACAATGTTAGTAAGTAGTAAATAGTACAATTACTATTACATTTAAACAAAGGTCATAACATATAATGTACCATAAAATACAATGAAATAACAGTAAAAGAGTAAATTTTATAGAATAAAGTAATAAAAATAATATTAGATATAAAGGTTAAAGCAAGGTAAAGTCAAAGCTACTGTACATCTAAGAACTTAAATATTTCTACATTAAAATGATAGTAGAGCAAAAGTACCAGCTTGGTTATTGACAACTGGGAATATGTCTGCAAGAAGATAATTCAGTTTTTTGAGGCCTGAGCCCTTGAATTCACCTATCATCAATGAACATTGAAAATATATGTACGTCTTATTTTTATTCTCAAATTCAATTTCCCAAAGTTCATGCAAGAGACTGAGAAAAAAACAGTAATTTGTTATAGTTGTATATTGAACTAAATGTATTTGTTATTACTTGGAAGCACCCATACATAATAAATGTTTTCAAAAACTTATTGTTTTATATTTGAAAAAACTCTCCTTGTCTTTAATATATATGTTCTGATGTCTAGAATCAGTTGTCAGGATTATATTCTAGATAAGCTACATCCATAGAGTTGGTGACAGTGAAGTGAGAAAAATGACAGAGGCAACATTACATTGTCACAAATAAAACTTTTATGCATGCATTTAATGTAGCATGCTTATAGAACATTGCTTTCATTAATTTGATACAAGCTTCAGATCCTGTGCAAAACATCTGTCTTAGATTTATAAGATTTAACATGTTTCATTTAATAATCCTATGGATAAACGCTGTTTAGAATACACTAAACTAGATATTCAAGAGTATAGAAGGTCCTGGAAAAAGCAATTTGAATATTTATTGTGTTTTCCCCAAAATAAGACCCTGTCTTATATTTTTTGAACCCCGAAATAAGCGCTTGGCCTTATTTTTGGGGTGCATGGAGCAAGATGGGGATCCTCTTGCCATCTTACCTGATTTCCAGCTCTGTCTCCCTAACCCTAACAAGAGGAAATAGCGGGGTACTGGCTGCACATGCGTTTAAATATTTTCAGGGGATGGCTTATTTTGGGGATAGGTCTTATTTTTGGGGAAACATGGTAGTTCATAATCATTGTTGAAGAATGCTTTGGTTTCTATATCTCACATTTCTGTAGATTTAATGTTATGATGAATAAAAGAATTCATATCTGTTAAAATCTTTGGGGGGTTTTGTAAACAAGAAATTGTGTGCAGTTAATTATCTGAGATGTGGTGCTCAATATGCAACACTGGTTCACATAATGTGCTCATATAAAATAGTGGTTCCCTTTTGGATAGACATTATATCATATATTAATTTTGTTCTGGAAGTCTTATTGTTTTCTATAGATGCTTTTTCTTTTTGATTTATATATCAATGATTTTAAAACTACTGTAAGAGAATGATAGTTTAAACAAATACTGTCTATCCTTCTAGGACTTAAAAAAAATGATATTACAAGGTTTGAAGGACATACATTTTTCCTTAATTTATGGAAATGTTCTGAAGAATTTACCTGTATTTTTTTTAAAAAAAACATTTTACTACTAGAATTCTAGTTTGCATTGTTGTGAAGAATAAAGTGCTGTTTAGAAAGTATTTTTCAAAGACAAATTGTTTTGCCTACATGTGATTTATTCCTTATCTGGGGAATAAACCAGGATATGTACAGTAAAATAATATATTTTGCATAAGCTTTTACGCATATATATTTATTCAAATATTTTTGAACTACAGAGAAGAAACACATAATAACCAATTGTGTTTTTTTACTAAATAAACTCCCAGATGCATTTTGATACAATTATGTATTCAGTTGTAAAATACAGCATAAAAAATAGCACTGAAATGTTATGCATATATTAACACCATTAGCTACTCATTTTCAGCTTTTCACTTTGTGTTTAAAAAATAGAGCACAGGCCAAAAATACTTTACTTCCAAGTCTAAATTAAATTACTGCAGAATATCATAGTTTAAAACAAAACAAAACCTAACAATAATTCAATAGCATGTTAGCAAAAAAGAAAAAAATATATTTTCCCTCTGTTATATTGGATCCATTTACAAACCCTGATTATACAATACTTAAGCATGAATATTTATATGGAATATTACCAGCACTACATTTGACAATTTGTTTTTTTAATTCATGTATTTTTCCTTTGTAGTACATAATTGAATTTATCTAACATAGATTTTTGGATATATACTAAAATATTTAGTGATGCCTTTTTTGGATTCCTTTAAAAGCAACAGAAAGATGGTATTTTTATATTTTTATCATACCTATTTAATTTTCTGCATTAAAATATCCTAATTTAAAGGGAAAAAATTGTGGTTTTAAATGACAAGCTACCACCTTCAATTTTCTGGAAATTTTATAGAAAACAATAAATTGTAAATTACTTCTTATAAAAATATAGAAGAAAAATGTTTTTATATGTTAGCCTAAGCTATATGAAAATAGAATTTAAGCTGTGACTTATATTTTAGATTAAATTGTATTAGTGGCCATTTCTGCTACATATTACTCCATAAAAAGTGTTCAATAAAAGTCTGCTATTGGTTTGTTAATTAATTTTCTGTGATAAAACTTACAAATGGTGGTATTTTTCCATGGCATGTTGAACCTACATAATAGGCCATTATTCTGGCAAGATTGTGCAACTATTAACAACAAGGTTTGCTATGGTCACTGGGTTTTTGCTATTAAGAGTTTTAATTTAATCATAAATAATATTGACAACATATATTGAGGATAATCATATTAAAATTCTACCCCAAAATAATAACCTTGGACTGATTAAGAAATAGCATCCAGTTCAATCATTAAACAGGAATTGAATTTCAGAGGCTATGGCTTTGTGATTACGAATACCTGAAATAGTTGTAATTGCTTGCTAAAGATTGTGAGACTCTCTTCCATCATAATAAGTAAAAATGAAAAGATGGTTGGAATTCTCTATGTTCTGAATCACAAACCTTTACTTTAGTCCATACAATCTTGAATTTTCTTACTAGTATTTTTGAAAGAATATAGTTTGTAAGTTAAATTGTACAGGTTTTCTGGCCTCCTGGTTATTTGTATTCATTCAGGAACATTTAGCTGCATAATTGCTGTTGTGTCAATGAAAAATGGTGGTGGTGGTTTGTAATTGGTACATGAAATCTGCAATGCAAGCCAATGACTTCTTGTTATCTGATAGTACCCAAAGAATACCTAGTTAATGCGTCCTGATTGCATGCATTACGTAATCCCTTTGCCTTTTGAAAACATGTCCTAGTACAGAAGTGTAAAAATTGAGGGCTACAAACAACCCCATAGGACTAGATGGCAACTCTCACATCCCTTTGAAAAACTGCCTCTTAAATATATTTTTTAATGAGACAGTAGAGTGAAATCATTAAATATCAAGATGAATCATATTAATTACATGCATTCAATTGAAAATACATTTTTAGGTGATGAAATCAAATTATTTTGGGTCTGTTTGTTTCTTTGCTTTCTGGACTTCATTCAGTTTTATTTTTTTATCTGTGGCCATTGACATGCCACTCAAAGGACAAATGTGGCCTCATCTTAAACAAAGGACCATCTAAGACATGGTGGTTTAAGTGCCAGGAAATATACTATAGATATAGACAAGAATTGGAGATAATTTAATGCTGGGTAGAATATTCTATGTAGAACCATGACTACCAAAAAAAAAAAAAAATCCAGATTATTCTAGCAGACATTTAATCAATATAGATTGGATTCATCAAGTGATATAATTGAAAATTTCCAGCAAGTATCATTATTATGCATCAACAAAACAATAAAACATTAGCACTGTAGTAGAAACACTGCAATTGTACTAAAATATATTCTAAATTATTTTTTTCAAACATTTAAACAAATGAACATTTTCCAAGCATTAATCTCATCTGCTTTTGTGAACTAGATTTAAGGAAAAGTTTCCCCATCTAGCCATATACAACCACTGCACTTCAAAATAGCAAAATGTATCATCTGTTAATGAATCAAAACAACATGGTTACATAGAGTTCTTTTGAGATAAAGGTTATAGATAGATATACTGGAAAACGTTAAGGCAGCCATCTCTGCTATGTTAATTAATTAAGAAGCTAAGCATGATCTATGAGCTATTTTAAGCATAAGCTAATTAGTGATCCTTAGGTCAATTTCATGTTGAAAAATTAAGGTTTTGAGTTCTTTAGAAATTCAATTAAAGTATGGTTCATGGTTTAAAGTCTTACAATTAACTAATACTGTATGTGACCGTAATGTTTTAAATAGAACAGTGTTTGCTTTTGGGGGAGTCAATGGGGGACAAAAAAATCTTGATGGTTGGTTGCAACATGTAACCATGCACTTCCTACACAAAAAACAAAGGCAGCAGAGCTTTATTTATTTATTTTATTTATTTTTTAAATTTTTATACCGCCCCCTCTCCCGAAGGACTCGGGGCGGTGAACAGCCAAAATTAAAAACACACAATACAAATATTAAAATACATTAAAACAAAATTAAATTTATCTTCGGCTTCCCCAATTTAAAACCCCTTACCCATAAAATTCCCCAATTAAAAGATTTTTAACCCAGCC